ATCTCGGTAGATACTTTGATAAAGATTGTCAAACATGAAGTAGGTAAGTACCTACATATACTTATTTTAAGTGAGAATATTCCAGTCTTAACCTGGAAATTATTTTCAACTGATTAATTTCGTTTCAGCTCCAAGCTAAATAAACCTTCTTTTTTTTTCTTCCAATCAGTTTTAAAGGCTTTAGTACACAAAGACACTGGATTTGCACGTGTGTGTAAAATCCATTTAAAAATGTTATTAATTTTAGTTTTTTCTGTAATGGCCTACATTTTCAAAGTTTTCGCTAAATTATCAATACAGATAGCATTTTTAATCTACGATAAGCGCACTGGAAACTAATTTATTGACAAGCGAAACTGAAGTGTCGATATGATTTGCAGATGGGAAGGAAGATTATTTAATGTTATATCAAGGTGTTATTCAAGAAACATTATGATAAAATGTAAGAAAAAGTCGCACAGCCATCCTATATAAGTGTTACATGATAGAATAAAATAGATATTTAATTTTTAATACACAAATTTTTATCCTTTCCTATGTCATAAACGCACAGCCGACAGATTTAGGGTTGTAAGAACCAGAAAACAAAAAACAACTAATTTCGGAACTTTCACTAGTAGTTTTTTTTTACAATGTTAACTTATTTGTAAAAATACCTCTTAGTGAATGATGAACAGAAGAAAGTTTGACGTGGTGATGATTAAAAATCAGCAAGAGATTAGATTAATAGTCAAGCCTACTCAAATATAGACAGTTTTTTCTTTTTTATGTGGCATCTTATTTATTTAAAAGAGTAGGTAAACTAAGTAGAGTCAATTTGTCACGTATTTGTTGTAGAAATAATGTTACATTTATCTTCAAATGGTAGGTAATGGTATCTATTTATTTTAATTACCATGTACCTATGTATTATGTAAAAAAATGATTAACTCTCAAGTTTGTCCTTTAAAATAATATTTAATTAACTAGGTAGGTATCACTTTTATTTTGAATTCCTTACACATTGGTGCATTACCAAATTGTCTCTTTATTGATTTATTGTATTAGCTAATTAGCTATTCTAATAAAAATAATTTTGATAATCCTCAATTATAATTCGCTTGGCAAATATAATGCTCTATTTTGCTGAAATAACATTTAACCCATTCGCAATTTGCACTCAATGTTAATGTATGACTAGCCAGTTTTATAAAGTACCTAACTAATTACATAATTAACATTTTGATTAGTTATTAAGTAAATATTTTAGAATTATATACTTCGTAATCTAATTCTGGGATTCTGTGGTGTTGTGTTAAGTGTATTGTTTAACTTTAAGGTGATAAATCATATTAATTATGATATTTGTCCAGTGGTGTTGACTGTTGGTACTTGATAGTCACCATTGTTTTCAAATTATGATGATCATGTCAATAGGAGTCAAATGTGATGATGAAAAGCACCATGGCGTGTCAATCTTTTAGTTTTCTCTACCAAATTGCAGGCTTAGTGTTGTCGGCGAATAGTGCCCACTCGTCCCGAGCCCCGAGCGTGTCATTACGCCATTTTAGGAAGAGGTCACAAGTTTCAGGTCTCATTTTCCAAAATGTCAAAAATAGATCTAGGCCCTCACTGCTTTACCTCACTAAGCCGTACTATTGCCGTACAATTTTCGTATTTGTTCCTAGTCCTACTACAAAATTGATACGAACATTATGCAACACAATAATTTAGTGGAGCTCCTTGCATTGCCAATGCAATCAATTGTGACTAACTATATGATTCAAATGGTTTGTTGTTGTATGAAGGACATGTTATTGTTTGTCACTTTTCAATGAGATGCTTACAGTGTGGATGGATCATAGAAATATTGTTCAATACCTTGTTTGCTCGACTGAATGCAGATTTTTCAATCATTTGGTTCATCTTGTACATTAGTTTTTGGCAATTCAGGCAGGTAATACAGGTTTCTCATCAAGATCTTTCACAATCTTCATATCTTAACAAATGTAAAGGCTATGATGATAAATCATTATTAAAAAAATGATTAAGTGATATTCACAAGTTTAAGTCAAGATGTTACAATGACATAATATTTTTTTGTGTGACTAACTCAAATTGCATTAAGACTACTGGTAGAACATTTTGCATTAATTTATTTGTAAAATTAATTTAATCCCTAATTTGTTACACTGGTAAATGAGTGTCAGTATCATACTAAGTCAGAGCTTGAATCAATTAAAAGGGAGCTATTTCTATTACTTTATAACATGATCATAAAAGTGTAATTGATCATAGGGTCATTCCATCGTTTCGGGTGTTACGTTCGTACACACATATTCAACAATTTCATGTATTTTGAAATAGTATTTTAATATTGTTAGTGCCTTAATCTGTCCGTTTTTAGTTGTTTTATCTTAATAATAAAGTTTGTACAGCTTAGAATGTAGGATAACGAAAATATGATTCGAAAAGTGTGCGTTTCGGGCGTTACGAGATTTTGCCTCTATGTTCTGACTGTTGCTGCATTTACTCGAAATTTAGCGAATTTTCTTAAGGAATCATACCTAAAACTTACAGGACTTCTAAAGTATGACATTTACAAACCATGTAACATACAATCACTGTTAAATAAAACGTTTTACTATTTTTTTATAATTTTTTTCTTTGTTTCGGGTGTTACAATGGTTCTGTTTCGGGTGTTACGAGTACGAAAATTCAACTCGTTTTATCGATAAAATCGGTGTTTTATTAGTCTCTAGGTACTACAAAATAAGGAGTACAACAAATAAACACAAATAGAGCGAATTCTGGTTTGAAATTACGAAGCAGCTTTTTTTAAAAAATATACAAAGTTTAAGTTTAATTTTTCCTCAGAAAATAGCTTTTTCTATTGTTTTTGGCTTGAAATAGCATTACTTTAATTTCTAATTACGATATTTATTGGAAATGTCAAACATCGACACTTTTTAGCAATACCTTAATTTTAGTGTCAAGTCGACATTTCAAAAAAGTCTTAAATTGAGAAATATGACTCCTTTTCCGATGCCAGCGCTAGTGGGAGGTCAAAGGACCCTCACAGTAATACTTTTTCACTTCTCCAAGCAATATACACACATTATCGACATATAAATAAAAATGTAATACCCGAAACGTTTCGGGTGTTACAGTTTTTAATCAAGAAAGAAACATACTAAATTAGTATCATGCTCAGATATTAGTTACTATTTGAAATCGTTACTACCATGACCTTACTTTTACCAAATATTGTTACCCTAATCCATGTGTAAGGTACAATAATAAAACAAATACCTGTTTTTCTGTTTCGGGTGTTACATCGCCGAAGTAACAAGAAAACACACTTAAAACTTGATGATTATCCATTTTTTTGGGACTATGACGCTTTCTACCATTACTATGATAAATACCCTCGAATCATATAGTGGCAAAACGTTTCACAGATTGATAGTTTTTTTTTTAATCGTATTACCAATAATTAGAGAGAAAATGATCATTCAGACAGTTGACTTAAGTATAGACTTTGAAGACTAATAACTTAAAAATTACTTGTTTCTTGCAGATTTTTTTTGTTGCACATTATAATTTGGAATGTTTACTTTCAAAATTCATCAGATTTAATGCGAAAAGAACATATTTAGTTTTTCACCTTCGGTAACATTTGTCATGGAATGACCCCATAGTGACTAGTTTGTTTTCTGTTTGCAGCACGTTTTTTTGTTTATTTTTAACGGTGCAGTAGGCTATCTATTGGTGGTCAGTGGATCTGAAAATGTAGCTAGGGTTGTGGGTGATTTTATAATAAAATGACCTAATACAGTTTTATTTTTATTGTGATAAGTACTTACATGTAATGGCTAGTTGTTTAGGTGGTTACTTTGATTTGAAGATTTCTAAGAAATGAATGAGAACCACTTGAAGTTCTAGTTGAAGAATCCACTCTTAAAAAAAGACATGAGCTGTCTGATTTAATTAATGAAAAAGGCATTATGCTCTTTGTTTCACTAAAAGCTTCAGTTTCATTAAATGCTGTGTGTGCATCAGTTTCATTAAATGCTGTGTGTGCACCAGTTTCATTAAACGCTGTGTGTGCACCAGTTTCATTAAACGCTGTGTGTGCACCAGTTTCATTAAATGCTGTGTGTGCACCAGTTTCATTAAATGCTGTGTGTGCACCAGTTTAATCAAATGCTGTGTGTGCACTAGTTTAATCAAATGCTGTGTGTGCACCAGTTTCATTAAACACTGTGTGCATCAGACTGAAGCTGTGTATGTCAGCGTTGCAATCTCATGTTGACAACGTTAGATTTTAGTAACTACCTACGTACCTACTAAAATTTTAAGGACCTTTTATAAGTTATTAGGTATTAGATGGGATCTGAAATGGTTAGAATTATGTCTAATTCTAAAATCATACTGCTTTAGTCAAGTTACTATGAGATTTGATCAAGAATGTACATATTTGGTTTAAGTGCCTAATCATTATTATATCATACACTCATGGTTTTGAATGTATTTATGGAGTAGTTTAGACATGTTTGTGTGTTAAACTAATGTTTGAGGAGACAATTAAAAAAAGAGCTCTAATCTGTGACAAAATTGAGCTTAAATTTAATGAAATTTAAATTTTTTGTTTTACTCAGTTACCTATATTCTTCAATTTACCTTTTTATGTTTTTACCAGGTATAACTGTTTATGCCTCAGGAAGGATTAAAAGCTGTTGTATTTTTATATGTGGGTTTCATGTCAAGAATAATAAAGTGAGATTTTTAATCATCACAGGAAACATTAACACAAAAAGTTAAAATAGAACATCGATAGGAGACGTTTAAACTTTAAAAATAGATAAGATTTAAAATAAAAAAAAAACAAAACACAAATACAATCATGCAAACATTTATAAACTAAAAAAAAACGAAAGTGTGAAAACTTAAATGTTTGTTATGGAAACGCATAGCATTTGCGGGGGATGAAGCTGGAGATATCAGGGTAAATGACTCACCGCTGTGCTCTGTGAATATGTTCGAGCCGAGAATGCGGGGGTCTTTGGGCACTCGGGGCTTTGTCCGCACGGACCGCATCGAAGCGCCGCTGGGCCCGCCGCGTTCCTTCGCCTGCTGCGCCCCCATCTTGCTCCGCGCTCAGCTCACGCCACCGCCGACACCGGTCCCAGACCACGCGACCACCGCCGACGCACACTAATTCAATAAATCCAAATCCAACTCAATGTTCTTACACTCCATACCCAATACAATCCGGCACAACTCAGTCAAAACAAAAATAATCAAACAAACACTAGTCCCAATATAACGCGATATTCATCTTTAAGTCTCTGTGATTCGATGATACAACATTACCGGGACTGGTCGCACGCAAAAAACAACACAATCTCCGCCATTAAATGTGCGACTGACATGTTTCCATGTTTGATTGACGTCGATTTTTAGTTTACGAAAACTTCCGCTGTGAGCAGCACTGTCGCTTTACCACAGATTTAGAATTTTGAGCTGACCAATCACAGCGATGTAGCGGGCATAGACTAAAACAAATTTTTATTAGTGTTTGGCTTTGGACTTATTGAATTGAACACACCAAGTCGTTTTTATAACCGTAGCACTACGCATTGAGCAGTGGCACAGTACTAGGTTCAGATTTGTAAAAAGAAGTACAAAAAGTTTAACCTCATCTGTATAGATGGCGGTAACTATAGTTCCAAAATACTGAACTGTCCTATCGATGACACTGACAGCGGGGCGCCACCGTCAATACCGGATCGCTGGTTCCGATTTTTGCCATGTTGGAAGCCATATAGTTGAACGATGGTAGCGCCCCCCTGTCATTGAGTTTGGCGGGACAGTTCAGCGTGGGTCATCTATAGATGGTATATTTCCAACATGGCAAAAAACTGAACCAGCGATCCGCCCCCCTAGACAAAACGCACTTTTTGATCGAATCGAAAATCGAATCCGTCAAAACTCCATACAAAAAAGGGGCTTTTCGACCACTTTTCGACTGGTTTGCGATTAAAATTTGCACTTTGTCTAGACCCATAGGTATTGACGGTGGCGCCCCACTGTCAATGTCATCGACAGGACAGTCCAGTATTTTGGAACTATAACAGCTGCTTAAGACGATTTGACAGTTGTTTGAGTATAGTTCCAAAATACTGGATACTGGACAGAGCCCCGATTACGGTAATTTTTAACGTCAACAATCCAGACACGCTTCTCGATTCTGCGATACGATTGGTCGTTCAACAGCGTACGTCAGCTGTTTTGACCAATCGTATCGCAGAATCAGAAACGCGTCTGGATTGTAGACGTTATAAAAGTTACAGTGGGGCGCCACCGTCAATACCGGATCGCTGGTTCAGATTTTTGCCATGTTGGAAACCATATAGTTGAACGATGGTAGCGCCCCCCTGTCATTGAGTTTGGTGGGACAGTTCAGCGTGGGTCATCTATAATGCTTAGCGTTGAATGGCGTTTCAGTATGCGAAAATTCATTTATAGCCTGACCAGGAACATAAAAACCCTCGCCATGTTGCGGAAAACTAATGGTACTAATTTCTTTTAATGGCAACAGTAACTGAAAACTTCATTGACATGTCACCTTGCATTGTATAGCCTGACCAGGAACATAAAAACCCTGGCATAGAGGCGCGTCAATTGCATTTGATAGTGCAACACTGAGTACAGTCGTACCTGTGTTAAATTAATAGGCTAACTTTATGTATCAGGATTCAGGATTACGTCCTAATTAATTGATATTTTCATAAATTAACGAATAAAGATTATATAGGTAACCTGGTTTAAATAAATTAAATGAAACCATCAATCGAGCTATGATTTATTTTATTATTCATCAATAATTAAATTCAGAACTTGAATATTCAACTGCAATGTCTGCTCATGAACGCTTTAAACTCGGTACTTCTTTCCCAATTCCATAAAATTCAACACTTAGAAAGTGACAAAAAACTTTAAAATAGGTATTTGAAACAAACCACAGCTAATTTTCATAGTGGACTGTACTATACGATAAACATGTCAGTCAATTTGACAACCTTTGTCGGAAACATTATTCAATGAAAATATTGTCCGAACCCTTAGTTTCTCTTCGATAAATACTTTAACACATTGTGAACCACTTTTCTTTCACGACTATAAAAAGATTTTAGCAATTTAATTCACAAAATCAATTGCGCACATTTAAAATAAAGTTTGTTTACACTTTGACAGCAATAGACTGACATGCAAGGTGACATGTCAATGAAGTTTTCAGTTATAGTTCCAAAATACTGGACTGTCCTGTCGATGACATTGACAGTGGGGCGCCACCGTCAATACCGGATCGCTGGTTCAGATTTTTGCCATGTTGGAAACCATATAGTTGAACGATGGTAGCGCCCCCCTGTCATTGAGTTTGGCGGGACAGTTCAGCGTGGGTCATCTATACTGTTGCCATTAAAAGAAATTAGTACCATTAGTTTTCCGCAACATGGCGAGGGTTTTTATGTTCCTGGTCAGGCTATAATATTTGACTCGTTGATCTTGCTTGAACATGCTAAAGCACGTTTTCGTAAGCTGCTGCTACTGCCAGGCTGTAGTTATAATAAATTCCGTTAGATGGCGCATATTACGTAAATATAACTAATTATTAATAATTATTTTATAAACAATTATTTCCAAAACAGCCGATTGTCACTGATTTGTAACGACTGATTGGTGGGTTTATCACTCAGTGATATTTCAAAATTGATTCCCTGTAGAAAATACGATAAGTAGATGGCACTAGTTACAGTACACTTCAGCCAGAAAAGTAGCGCCATCTAACATTTTATAAGTCGGAGTACAAGATCCGTTGACGATAATAAGTTTTAAGCGAGGCTTTTATTACCAACTAGCTGACCCGGCGAACTTTGTTCCGCCTTAATGGCAATAAATAAGCAGACTTTTTTTTATTTCGAACGGGATAAAAAGTATCCTTTGTCCTTCTCCTGGCTCTAAACTACCTCCCTGACAATTTTCAGCTAAATCGGTTCAGCCGTTCTTGAGTTATAAGTGGAGTAACTAACACGACTTTCTTTTATATATATATAGATGTAAGTAGGTGCGACGTTAGCAATCTAGCCTTCCTTTTCCTTCAACCACACTGACGCGTCGAGGGTTGAAGCATATCTATGCTTTGGATGCAATCGCGATGCTGTCGCTCGTTTACGAAACGCGTCACAAAAAAGTCGCCGAGACCGAGGGGCCTAAAGTAGTAACCTAAGGTTGTCAGGTTTTTTTGGGTCGGTTTTAATATTTTTTTTGTTAAAATTAATTTATTTCATGCTTTTAATAGCTTAATTCTTTTTGTTAGTTCTTGTTGTTGGCACTGGAGGTTCCCTAGGATCCTATCATCAGATCCTGACTTGGTGACAATGGGACCACCTCAGAAGTGTACTCTATCGAACAATTTTGCAAACGTTCCACTGACGAAATAATCGGTGAACATACATAGAAAAAATATATGTAGTGTCATGCAGTCGAACATAGAACCTCCTCCTTTTTTTAAGCCGGTTAAAAATTGGAAAAAACGTTCCTACTATATCCAACTTCAAAACAGGAAGTGGTTCTCGTTTATTTAATTAAGTTATCTGATAGTAATTCTATTTAACCGATTTCAATTAATGTAATAAATCCAACCTACTTATTTTTACTTATTTTATTTTACTTATGTAAACCAAGCGTTTCTTTTTTGATCTCATTAAAAACTATGCTTCTGCTTTAATTTACAATAAAAAATTGCCAGCCTATTCGAACAAGATACAGAAATTCTTCATACCAAGTAGAATTTTATGTAGGTACATTTTAAAAATACGCAATGAACAATATAGGTAAGGAAAGAAGCACTATTAAAACGTAGTAGTAGTAGGTTTACAAAATTGGATTTTTGGCGTTGACTTATTAATAAAAAGCACAATTGAATTTTTTTTTACATTTATTTCTACCACATCAAGAATACGGAATATAATCATAGTTCTTATTAATAATTCTAAAAGAGCTTAATCTAACTTAACATACCTAACTTATGGTTACATATGGCTCTAAAACTAAATTAATAATTTTGTAACATTAAAAAAATTAACAACTAAGCATTTGAATAAAAAAATAACGTAACCGTAAATAAACTAAAATATTTAACAATTTACACAGATTGTTATAAATAAAATTAAAATAAATTATAACATTTCAATATAATAATTTGCAACAATTTTTACATCACCTAGATGTCTAAGAATGAATAATAAATAAGTATTATTAATAATAATTATGTATACAGTGTGTCCGGGCTTGTAGTGATCAAACTTTAATGGCGTAATTTATGGACAATTTTATCGATGAAAATACTTCAAATTTGGGGCCTGACCCATTTCTCGAAAAATTACATCGATTTAAGTTTTTAATTTTTAGTTTACACCTCTTCTTTAAAAAACAAGTGAAAGCGTGTGTAGCTTAACATTAATATGCAAATATTTTATATCATGCGATAGCCAATAAAATTATCTATTAGTAGAAGAAGAAAACAGACACAAGTTTCATAAATTTTATGGGAGTAAGAATGGATTTAATTAGAAAAATACATTACTTTTTTCACTTCTTTTTCAGTTATTTTCCAACACAAGAAAAACCAGGTCGTTAAGGTATGTTTTATTTGCATTGTATTTTTAGTATTTGAGCTATTCTACAAAACAAATGTAAATTTATTAGTCTACGTCTATTAGTTTTGACGTAATTGTTGAACAAAGATACCCCTTCCCAGCGGTTTCCATAGTAATCGGAATAGGTTGTGTGATTCTTTCAGGCAGTGCATTTTCGCATGTCGCGTGCGCTATGGAAACCGCTGGAAAGGGGTATCTTTGTTCAACAATTACGTCGAAACTAATAGACGTAGACTAATAAATTTACATTCGTTTTGTAGAATAGCTCAAACACTAAAAATACAATGCAAATAAAACATACCTTAACGACCTGGTTTTCCTTGTGTTGGAAAATAACTGAAAAAGAAGTGAAAAAAGTAATGTATTTTTCTAATTAAATCCATTCTTACTCCCATAAAATTTATGAAACTTGTGTCTGTTTTCTTCTTCTACTAATAGATAATTTTATTGGCTATCGCATGATATAAAATATTTGCCTATTAATGTTAAGCTACCCACGCTTTCACTTGTTTTTTAAAGAAGAGGTGTAAACTAAAAATTAAAAACTTAAATCGATGTAATTTTTCGAGAAATGGGTCAGGCCCCAAATTTGAAGTATTTTCATCGATAAAATTGTCCATAGATTACGCCCTTAAAGTTTGATCACTACATGCCCGGACACACTGTATAATAATAACATCTTGGTCCGCCATCAAAATGTAGTTATAATACTCTTTAATGGTGACAATGAAAGATCAATGATTCTTTAATTTTATTGTCACATAGTACCATTTGTTTTTCTCTAATGACAATCAAATATTTTCATTATTTTGGCACAATTTTGAATTATTTCTATTTTTTAATTATTTCTTATCTTTTACATTAGCTGACCCAGGGAACTGAACTTCATACTGCCTACGTTTATCATCATTAGCTACATACAGTATATAATAGTAGGTATAGGTAATTAAACAAAGTCGCTTTCCGCTATCAGTCCGGGACAGACATACCTACTTACATCCAGAGCATTTTTATAATATTAGTGCGATTATAGATTTTGCCGGCGGCTTCGCCCGCGTTAATTTCGGTTTATCAATGAATGTTTCTATCCGTGCATATTCTTTAGCTTAAGGCTTAATTTCATAAGGGATAATGTAGAATTCTAATAGTGAAGGGATTTTACAATCGTTTCGATAGTTTCGGAGCAAATACAAACTACTCTAATATTCAACTACAGCTGCTTCGATGATTAATATATAATATTTGTTTCTAAAATTACTTTAATGTCAATCCTAAATACTTAACCTACATTAATTATTTATACAATGTGACTAGCTTAAGTCCTTATTAAATCGTTTGAATGTCAATATTTGATAGTAATCAAGCCCAAACAAGAAAGAGCAGTAAACAGTTTGAGCCCTGTAAACGCGACTATCCTTAGGTCATTTATATATTATTTGAGCAATAACGAATACTGCTTATTTCCAGGCCCACCCAGAAGCTCACAAAATGGAATGTTCAGTCCACTGGGTTGAAGATACCACTAAAATTAATAACGGACAGATGCTTATTTTACGGTGGACCAAGGACATCAAGAATGTAGCTGGCAGGGGCTACATGACAAAGCGGGAGATCGTGCCGTTTCCTGCTCCTTGGGGTGGCTTGAAATGTCCAGCAGTGGACTGTGACTGGCTGAAATTATGATGGAGTGGCATGACGAGATGCTTAGGGCAGAGGAGCCTCCTCGTAGAAGTCGGGCTCGTCGTCCTTGTCAATGTCCTTCTGGGCGCCATCCAACTGAAACCAGAAAAGTCATGGTGAAAAAAAAATTAAAAGTTCGAAGTTCTGGATCGAGTTCCTTCCAATACAACGCCAACGGTGCCGTGGTGTAAATACGACGTCCCAGTTTTCTGGCTGGTGGCAAACTGGCGAAACACGGTAAAACCATAGTATTATAATGAGTATGCACTCCGCAGACGCTGCACTAAGGCTGCTTCCATATTCTAACAAGTGCCTAAGCTACCTCCTACTTTATTAGTAGCAAAGGCTGAGAAGAGATAAACAATATTAAAGCAACTGTTTGTAAATTAATGTTGGGATAATGTGGATTTGTGTATGCCAAATTATAGTTCAAATAAAGAGGGCAAAATACATTCAGCAGTAGTTTTTGGGAATTCATGCAAACGTGGTCGCCCCAAGCAAACTTGGCGGCGCACTGTGGCAGACGAGGCGAAGAAGATCGGCAAGACTTGGAGCGAGATCAAACACATAGCTCAAGACCGAACGCGATGGAGGACTGTTGTGGACGCCCTCTGCCCCATCTAGGGGACATAGGACCATAAGTCAAGTCAAGTAGTTTTTGGGAATTCACAGTACAGATAAAAATTAAACAATATAAAAGATTTGCAGAACACACCGCTCTCAGCTGGAGTGGTGTGAACAGATACACCAGCGCCATCCGGAGAGGCACCATCAGCACCAGGAAGAATGGCAGCGCCAGCGAGAAGCGCGAGGACTTCACTGTGTACAGCACACAGATACCAGCTAGCTGGATCAGCGTGTACATGTGCATCTTCAGAGTCGGGACCTGTGGACATGACATGAAAATTCTCATAAAAAAGATGCTACAGTAAAAGTTATGTTCATGATACTTGTAGAAAATCCTGATGATAATGATCCAAGAGAGAAAAGTGCTTGATATCAAACTTCTTAGTTCTTGCTTTAAATAAAATTTGAGTGTAAATCCATAAAGGATCAAAGGCAGCTGTTCCTAATTTACTGACCTACGAGTATCTACGAAGGAAATTGGCACACAGATCTTCTTGATGGCAGGTTGTAATGACGTAGGCATCACTGTGAAATATTTACCAAAACTGACCCCTTAGGGGTCTCTAAAGGGAGGAAGGGTCCAAAGGGCACACTATTGTCCAGTTAAAACTATACCATGAGCAGCTCCTTACCCGTCTCACGTAAGGAACCTGTGGATGATGCTTCACAGGTTTCAGGAGCAGGATGCATCTGTCCCAGAACTGGATGCCGCCCAGGGCAGAGATACCCATGTACAGGAACACGCCGAAGAGCACGGCCATGGGCACCAGGCGCAGCCAGCCTGCGGCCAGCACCGACACTCCGCACAGGATGGAGACCAGAAGACCGGTTAGCCGTTGTTCTGGAAGTCGGTATTTAAAATTTAGTGTCTTGAATGGTATTCAGGCAAGCCAGGCAACAGCTAAAGCTTTTAGTATTTTGACATGGTAGAATATCGTGGTTTTATATGCCAGCCAACATCATGACCATGACAGCTTACTCGTATCAAATTTGATATTCCCTATTCATTCCATGCTATAGCAGCTACTTTCTAAACCCTAAGGACGGAACTAGAGGCCACAGATATGATAATTAGCCTTCTGCAGGCTGCAGATACATATTATTAGGTCGGGCCAGTAATCAATGCGGTTGACGTAGCTTAGACCACAGCATTATACTATTTTTACTAAGCAAGCTTACCTTTAACCTCGACGATGTGCGGTTTGTCACCAGGCGCGTGGGTGGTGGACATAACCGTCAAGGCTGACACGTGGCTGACGGACCGGACGGTGGCCACGCACTGCCAGGGCGCTCCGAACATGCCGCAGACTCCGTTGACCAGCGACATGATCACTATGTCCATGTGGAAACCGCTGCCTTTCTTCAGGCGCCGCTCGGGCTTGTCAACGATGAGCCTGGTGATGAAACAGCCGTTGCAAAAAATTGTTCCAATAAAAAATGATGGACAACAATATCAAACTTTAGGGGCTACCTAATTAGGCTTTGCAACTCTTAAGAAGGTTAACTTCGCTTTGCATGAACAGCATTGCTCTATGACTTATTGCCTGAATTCTGAATGTTCGCTAGCTTGGAACTTATTTATTATTTGCCTACTGACAGAAATGGAAAAAGCAAATCGCATATCAGCCAATGTAAACTCTAAAGGAATGAGTACTCATTTTACAAGAGAACTGCAAGCCACAGACCTCCAAGATAATTTACTGCCAATTAATACCAAAAAACTCAAGAAATCTTGAAAAGACTGTAGCCCACAGGTACATAATCCACGCAAGCCCTTACTCAGCGATGTGCGTTTCCATGAAGACAATGATGTAGACCATAAGTGCAGGGAGCGCCATCACAAGCATGGCCCAGAAGGGGATGGTCTCCAGGCCAGGGTTGGCAGGGACCAGCCAGGACCGGTCGGCTGTGGGGCTGAGACCTTCAGGGACCCGCAGGGTTTCTGTCCAGACGGGGACGAGGCGAGAGATTCCAACCATGAGGACGATCGCAATTGGGACACCGAAGTCTCCGAGAGCACGGCGAGCCTGAGGAAAATAGAAAATTACAAAATCTAATCACACGTTAGGTGATAATATATGAACTGGGGGAGTATTATTATACAAGTAAATTCTGCTAATTTTCACTATTATTATCTCTGAAACAATAGTTATTGGTCGCGCAGTAAGATTTGAGACAATCAAATTATCTGTAATAAATAAAATATTTGTATACGCTTGTCACGCTTACGTCCTGCGTATTTTGACTGATTTGTGTAAATTATGACATGAGACAATAATAATACAGTGTTATGACGTTCGCCTCAACTTTTGTTGCGCGACCTATACCACTACACAACCCAGTAAAAAATAAACTACATGCTACAGTGAATTTTTTTAGTTCAAGTTCTTTAATGTAGATGGCGGTATATCCTCTGTGAGGACTTTAGTACGGCAATATTCCGTTAGATGACGCGAATCCTGAACACAATATCTCTGCGATCACTCCTACATTTAGTACAGCAACGTAGCGGTAGATGGCGCGAAATCCTAATAAATGCTTTCGTCCGTACACCGTTGATTTTTCGTCGGCCGATAGTTTAGTCGGGCAGTTGATCAGTATGGGCACATGCCCATACATATGGGAGTGCGCACACTACGCCGATTCGATTTGGCCGATTCTTCATACAATTTAAAATCGGGCACAACTCCTACTCTTAACGTTTCTACAAGCGATTCATGTTTTAGTACTTACACTGCGACCCAGGAACTTTCCGTTTCTGAAGATCCTCAGGTAGTAGGCTATGATGAAGGTGGACAGTGTCAGTATTGTGCAGAACAAGGCTGTGTTGGGTTTCGGCAGTATGGGGAGCTGTGGGGTCACTGTGACGGTGGAGTTGTCTGCAAAAAGAAAAGGAATGGATATTAAAAAGTTTACTTACAGCATTTTAACTTTCAATTGGAGCAAAGCGCAAGGGAATAATGTCTATCTACCTTTTATTTATAGCGGGTTTTGATGGTCTAATTTTAATAGACCAAATCACTGGATTGAATTTGTTCGTTCGTTTGTTCGTTTCAGCCAAATGACGTCCACTGCTGGACAAAGGCCTCTCCCAAGGTTTTCTATAATGAACGGTCCTGCGCTGCCCGCATCCAGGCTCTTCCCGCGACCTTTACCAGATCGTCGGTCCACCTAGTAAGAGGCCTGCCCACGCTACGTCTTCCAGCCCGTGGTCGCCACTCGAAAACTTTCCTGCCCCAACGGCCATCGTCTCGTCATCTTTGAATTTGTTAATGAAATTGAATCGAGTTTTATTGCATTTTTTGTCCATATTAGGTATCTCAGAATAGCAAAATTAGTGTTTAAAGTTTGCTTGGATGTATCGTAATTGGCCTTTTTTATACAGGTATTTCAGGTAGGTATCCAACCGGGTAACAAACATGTGAAGCATTGGGAGAGGCCTATGTTCAGCAATGGACGTCCTACGGCTGAGATGATGATGATGATGATGAAGTACTTAGGTATTAATACCTAGATGTCCTAGAGAAGATTTTTTTCTACCTACCCAAGATTCCAGTGCCATTGACATCAGGCATTGTGGAGTTGTGGGTTTGGTTCTGGAAAGCGCAGTAGTCGACGCCGAGCGGATGGTTCCGGTAGACGCTGATGATGTTGGTGATCGGCTCCCCGATGAAGATCAGGGAGATGAGGAACGCGAAGATGTCTTCAGTGAATCTGGTGGTAAGATTAAGGTTATTAGACTACTCGCTAAAAGCCAGTATATGAAACTAGAGAGTTCCTTTTCAACCGACTTCAAAAAAGGAGGAGGTTCTCAATTCGACCCGTATGTTTTTTTTTTCTATGTTTGTTACGCGATAACTCCGCCAATTATGAACCGATTTGAACAAATCTTTTTTCGGCGTATAGGTAATACCTCAAGGGTGGTCCCATTTAAATTTAATAATAGAAAAAACAACCCCCAAGGGTGGAAAATTGGGGATGAACTTTTTTATACGCAATATCTCCGCCGATTATAAATCAATTTGAACGATTATTTTTTTGTTGAATAGGTATTATCAAAACGGTGGTTTAATGCGAATTTGAAGAAAATATTTCACCCCCAAGGGTGGAAACTGGGGATGAACTTTTTATACGCAATATATCCGCCGATTATAAATCAATTTGAACGATTATTTTTTTGTTGAATAGGTATTATCAAAAGGGTGGTTTCATGCGAATTGGAAGAAAATATTTCACCCCCAAGGGTAGAACTTTTTTTAATTTTTAGTTTTTTTTTGTGTTCACGCATTTGAAGTCGGTTTTATTTTTTTTTAAAAGTTATATATTTATCTCTTAATGAGTGAAGTAAAAAGAGACTTATTCGTATTCTTAAAAGATGGGCGTTTTTATAAAATTAAAAAAAAATTAAGATGCTTAAAATATACTAATAAAAAAGTTACGCGTTTTTATTAGATTGTTTTTAAAATATGATGCTTAAAGTATAGGTCTCGTCAGTGTATTTTTGAAATAGTATGCTATTAATATTGTATAAAATATCTGGTTCCCTATAACGGGTATCTTCACTGGTTGGGTTTTTATTGGCGGTCAAGCTGTATATACTGGCTACACAAGAGTTGCAGTGAAAGTGGAAAGAGAGGTGGGAATAGTCCCGTATACTAATTGAGAAAATTAAACAAAGAAGCTGAAAATTCGAAAGGACAATGACCAAAAGTGGTCCAAATGTCCACCACTAACGAGACCCATATTGGCTTATAGTCCATTAAATAGAGATTAACTTTCAGTATGGGACGAAAAAAAAATAAGCTGTCAGTAATAAGATATGACTGTTTGAAAAATTGTAGTAGTTTACGCGCTAATCTCAGGAACTACTGGTCCGATTTGAAAAATTATTTTTGTTATGGATAGCCCATTTATCAAGGATGGTTTTAGGATAAATAACATCACCCTACAACCAATAGGGGCGGAGCAGTAAAGACAAATGTTGTAGAAATGGGAAATATTATTCAAACTATTTTCACGCGTACAAAGTCGTAGGCACAGCTAGTATAATATTTAATAAAATTCATCTATAGCCCCGCGCCACATGCGACATGACATAACATGCGTAGATTAGTCCAAAATGTGCAATGGATAGAATGATATCAAGAACATTTTTTGGATGAAAAGGTAAAAAACAGACTTTTCATTCAGTCATAACTTTTTACTGACAGCATATTTTTGATTGCGCTTTGGTTATAATGAATCAGTATTTAGTAGACTATTTTACTACATAGGTCTCGTTAGTGGTGGACATTTGGACCACACTCCATACATTTTTGGTCATTGTCCTTTAGAAGGGCAAGAGCTTCCTCGTTGTGGATAAAACAATGTTCTGTTCAGTTATTGTCTCTAAATGTGTTCTACATAACGTAAACTTAAGGGATTGCAAACATTACTTAGTCCTAAGAAAGTCAAAAACATGTAACGGAATCTCCGACTTACCACTTTAGTGGAGCGATTACAGAAAATAATGGCCTATTAAGTACATGTTTTTTTGTGTTATTATGAAAGTTCAGAAAACTGCGCAGTTTTTAAAATTATTTTGGACCTATGGAATTTTGTTTTTTTTTTTAACTTTTCAGTTGAAAATTTTAGAATGTTCCGCTAAAAGCATATTTTTTATGTTTCTAGCAAAAATTTTGTATCTTGCATCAAAGATAGGAAGTTGATTATTTTTTTCAAAAATCTGCAATTAATAGGGAATCTGTCAAAAAAAAGAAATCTGAGAAAAGTCGACCCAAAAAAAAGATAAAAAAATTTAAAGCCTACTAGGTCATACAATTTGAAAAAATCACAAAATTAACGATAACTTCTAAACTATGAAAAATCGTAAAACATACATGGGGGTGAAATCGATAGGTCTAGTCCTCACCTATCACCTGCCTTCGGCTTGACACCTTACAAGAAACACCCTGTATAATATAGAAAGAAGATTTTCATTGATGGTATTAGGATAAAGTAAATAATAATAATATTAAGACATCAATGCAAGTATACCAAATCGTAATAGATCAAATTATCGCTAAATAATAGCATGATGATATTGATTATTTATTGGTCGGTTCAAAAAATAAGGAGACATGTAAAGTGCCCCATATGGGCTACCTTTTTTACTGTTTTTGACGTTCATATCTATCACCTATCGTTTTTAGAAGCAATAATTAATAGGGTAGATTTATCCAGCCAGATTAAAGAGGTCTTTCAATGCCTTACCAGTGTTTCAGATATCCCGATTTGTCCGTGTGTCTTTTCTGCAAGCAGACCGCCGAAGGTGATGGCAGACGAGAGAGCGGCGAAGTACATGAAGATCGTCGCAGCTGCGCACTGCCCGTTCAGGGCGTCGGTGAAGTCCGACATGTAGAATGGGTAACGTCTCTTGATATCACGGATAACGCCTGAAAAAACCCAGCAGTCAGAACTGGCAACATGGAAACAAAATGATATTGATGTCGATTTAGATATTACCTCCAAATAGGCGGCCAGTTCTTGACAGCGGGTCATCAGGTTCCTTAGGTGGTGGGGACCCCTTCTCCGCTTCAAGCAACGCCTTCTTCTCATCGGAGGGTGTTGTCTCAGCCACAGCAGCTTTCTCTTTACGTGCCTTCTTTTCTATTGCATCACGCTTGCGTCGCCGAATCATTTCGCTTTTGGCCCGCAGTTCCTCGATGGGTAGAAGTGCTTGACGCTCCCAGTCGCCGGGCGGCAAGACAATGGAGTCGTCAAGGAATTCATTGATACCCGACAACAGTTCACGCCGGTCGTCTGCTTTGTAGGCGATGGAGTGGAACGCTGGGTTAGACATTAGGGTTGAGATGGAGCGACCAACCTCATGGTAGTCTAAGTCAGCGTCGCTAGGTCCAAGGAGGATGAACATGAATCGGACGGGGATGGGTACTTCAGTGATGGACGACATCTGGATGCCATGGGCGAGCCTCACAAAGGCAATGGTAGGCTGTTCAAGGAAGCCAACAGCTCCTACTAGGACGGTAGTAGCTTCGGCGTCTTCTGGAATGCGCTTCATGATGGATTCATTGTGTCCTTTTCGCAGCTCGTCTTGAGAGCCATCGACGATGGTAGAAGCAAGGTACTCCACTTCTTTCATATCGATGGCCGCCGAAGAGGATTTTTTGCGTTCAGAACGGTCCATAGGCAGCGCATGGGAGCTGCGCCGACGGCGCTGGTCCGATAGATTCTAAACAGAAAACATACTCCATTAGAAAATTATCTTTCCTATGAAGGAATGGACCAGCTCTTTTACTTTGAGATAGTGAAGACTCCAATGCATCACCTCAGTAAAAGAATCGATCCTAAGACATAAACACTCAAGGGCAAACTATGATATTTACAAGATACTCTTCATAGCGAAATTTTCAGTGAACTATTTTTGTAATTAATTCAAATAAGTAAGAGCATTGAAACTTAGATTCTTAATATTTTTCATTACTATGCTAATTTCAACCTTCGTTAACTTCGTTGTTGATCATAAACCATAAATTAAGTGGACAAGTGTGATAATTCCGCTATAAAAGAAATACATAATTGATTATTGAAACAATAGCGACTATTCTAAGGTACGTGCTATGCTTGTCGTGGAAGCGATTTGCAAGAATAGTCTACGTTTGGTATACAAAAGGTAATTAATGTGCTCATTAGGCTGAGCTGCTGATGACAAACGGTTTGACGTGGGATATGTTGAGGTATCTGTGACAAATCGTTCAGGTGATTTTCTTCAGGAGGATGGCGAGCAGAAGAACTATGAATGAAGAATCATCAATCGTTTAATGACCAACACTTATCTACTTCCTATTTTGATGCAAATGAAATTTAGGTAATACCAAAAACATGATAACAGTGGGGCTATCATATTTTTAATATACATTTATACATGCGAACGTGCTGAAACTGATAAAATATGGGTATTTTAGGCACGTAGCGTAGCGTAGATTGTTCTACAACAATTAACTCCAGTAAATAACACCTTGCTCTGTACACTCTGTAGTGTTAAATAAATACCATGAACACAATCTAGATCATATAAAAACAGAGAATGAATTCCAGTTTTTTCATTGTCGATGCATGTTTAATCACGACTGAAATGAAACTTACATAATATGACTCTACCTAATTTATATTTAAATGAAAATGATAACAAAACTGAATGAAGAAATACAATGAGGGACTCGTGTCACATTCTATGACTACGAAATATGATGAACACCAACCACTACGATGACCAGTCTCATCACTCTGTCTGTACGAAGTGCTGCAGTGGATGGAATCTCAAACTATGGTGTAATGTTAGTAAAAGTGACAATAACTTCTGAACTAAAAAAAAAAAACAATATGCTGGGCCATTTGCAAGATTTTTGTTGCTTTTGCCTTCCTGAAGTGGTCTACGAATAGAGATAATTGCACTCAAACTGTGTGCTGAAAAAAAGTCGTATTTTAAAGGGAGTTGTCGTGATTGAGTTCTTGGAAAGGATCAAAGGATCAGGCTGACCATCTGTAAGTACAGCTTAGGATCTGATATGGCCTCCAGAGATGGAGTGACGACATATGCTGGGAGCAGTTGTAAGAGAATCTCCGAGAAATGGGCTTAGTGGCGTTCATTGAGGGAGACCCGTACAGCTGTGGATCTCGTTATCGATTGGAGATTTGGGATTTTGACTAAAATTGAAAAATCTTTTTGCTTAATATGATGCTTTAATACCTAGTTACTTGAAAATAGCAGTCAAGATGACCTAATACGAAGGTAGAAGGGCAAAAAGATATACCTTTAAAGATTGGTAGCATGCGCTTTCCTAAATCTGATATAGAAGTAGTCCAAATGCAATCTCGTAAGCAACATTCTTGAATCAGCACAGAGAGGGAGAGTCAAAGTCAGAGCTGAAGGGTACAGGCAAAGTCTTCAAAGTCAGATGTAAAAGTTCTTGCATATGGTCAAGTAATGTTAATAACACACTGGTACATGGCAGTGGCATACGATGAGGTGCGCGCTGTGGCGACGACAGAGCCCGGTCGCGGAGCACAGCGAGCAGCGCGCGCGAGGGATCCCAGGCTCCTCCACCCACAGCGACTGTGAGTAAGATCAGGTGAGACAGCTGGAATACCTGACCCTACTTCAAACCTATGGAACTTCCACCTAAAGAACTTTCAAGGCGAGAGTGAATAGGCACTTACGGGGCAGATATTACCATCCTAGACTGAGTCTTATTTGACTTGTCCTGCATAAAAAAAAAAATACTGTACTGTACTGGGTACTGTGTAAGATGACACGCTCTTCCTTTATACAGTTATCATCATTACCATTATCAGCATCATTTAGTCTTCACAAAAGGAAAAAGACTGTAAATACGCAAATGCAGAATTTGGCCTACGTTCCACGCGTTAATTGAGGTTACGTCTTTTTTTTAAATATAACATTAGGTTAATTTTAAAAGTTGAATTTTCATTTTTCCTGGTTAAAGTTTTCCAAAGTGTCAGTTTCGTAAACATCAACAGCTAGAAGTTAAACCTAATTGTAGAAGGAAAACTTACCCTTTTCGTCAAAGATCTTGACAAACATTTTTGTGGTTAAGACAAAAAACAAACAGCGAATGACTGATCTTAAACAAATGAGATCAATTCGAAGAAACATATAGCTCAATTGAATGGTACCTAAATCAATATTAAAGTAGTGACATCGATAGATAAAAATTTATTTACCAAGTGCTCAAAACCTAATTGTGTTACTTTAACGAGATCTTTTAAATATGCAGCGGCTTTATTCTCGAAAAGAATCTTCTTGAAGATTCTGACCAGTCACTGTCTCAAAGAGAGCCTCTATCATTGATGATAAATTATTTTTTTGCAGAAGAATCTATGTCAGTATCTTCTAAACTGATGAAAAACTAAGTATAGACTTTATTTATAAAGACTTTATTTATAAAGTCTGTCAATAGCTGAAATCACGATCATTGCTGTTAATTACATACTAATTAAACATTTGAAGCGATGCCACAAAACTTCAACACCATCAGTCGTTTTACAGTTGTGTAATAATTATCTTGGAAACTTTCCAAGAGAGCAATAAATACCCAATCGGGGATAAAAATATCGAAAGCTGCTTTAATTGGCGGGGGAAGTTAATAAGGCCCTTATTTTATGTAATCCCTTTTCCAAGTATCCTATAATATTTATTAATAATCTCTTTTCTACCCACTGCATGTCTCAAAATAGTAAGAAATTAATCGTAATCCCAATTTGGGATATCTATATCTGGCTAGAATATTCCTATTCAAAATTCATCATACGCCCACGTTAACAGTAAATGAAGAGCTACTTTATTGGAAGCCTACTTATAAATGAAGAAGGTAACACATAGGTTCCGAAATACTACCCTGAAGAGCTTCTTAATAATTAATGTTGACTCATCTTGCTAAGGACCAAACCGAGACAAAACCAAAACAGTAATGCTTTCATAAAATCAAGATTAATAAAAAAAAATACTTATATGCCAAATGTGAGATCGCTTCCTAGCGATAAGACCGCCTAAATGTGCCATTTATGTGTCTGATAATAAAGTATATTAAAGAAGAAAGAAAGAAAGAAAATATTTTATTTGGCCCAACATATTAAATTATTACAGTATACAGTTTACAATACTTGCACATTTGTGGACCAAAATGGCATCCGCTCAGCATTGTGCCCTGCTCTGAGGTAGACCCAGAAAAGGACGCTGTTATTCTGCGGAGGCCACTTTTTTAAAAGAGCGTCACATTGGACGCCATAAACATTGGCATTTTTATTTTAAAATTATATAAACTTATACAAAACTTCAACGATTTCATAAATTTGTAGGTGTGTGTGCTAGCTATGTGTGTTAGGTGTATATGTTAGGTGTGTGTGTTGGGTGTATGTGGCTTGTGTGTGTGTCAACAGAAAGTGCTAGATGTGTCAAAAAGTTATCTTTGTGTAATAAAGGGAAGAGATGCAGAACAACTACTCAGGCAATAGACATTTGTTCGTCTAATAGAAATTTCTTTAAATTACATTTGAAAGTAGCATTTGATTAGCTATTTCTATTTCGAAAACTGTAAAGTTGTACATATTTTCCCTAAAAGATAAATTGTGTTAAGCTATAGGAGAGCGAAAATACTTGATACTTGACTGAGTAAAGGTTTTTACAACCATTATACTCGTAGGTGCCAACCTATTATCCATTCAAGCTTGCATCCTATTAAGCTTTGTCTCTCAGATTAACGACGCTCTAAGCCGTCTGTGTTGATCCAATTAATATATGACACTGAAGCCAGAATCCCACAACGATATCAGGAATCAAAGCTGCATTTCAAATATGCTTTGAATTTAATAGATGCACCTTCCGAACGTTGTCTGGCCATATTAGAGACCGGCGCGTGATCTAACATAAGTGAATTAACTACGGGACTATTCCTACCCCTCGTTCGCACCGCAACTCCTGTGTAGCCAGGATCTACAGCTTGACCGCCAATAAAACCCAACCAGTGAAGGACAAGTTTGTCTCGGAGGAAAAACTGTCATTGGACCCGCAACGAAATTAATCAGAAAAACATAGGAGAAGAATTAACACTATTCTAGCTAAGAGTATTTCCGGTTTTTTGGGCCCTTTGAATCTATTGCTGCAAACGCAAATTTGTCATTATTTCGACATAGGCAATATTACGATTTCCATCAAAACACCGTTTGTTTATTACAAAATAATTAAGCTACAATGGGTAAAGTACGAAGAAATTATGTAATTTTATAAAAAGCTTGCTATTGGTTAAAATATAGGAATCCAGGGTTGTAATATGGTGAATGGGTGGCACAAGATCAGGCAAAATATTTTTAATTGTTGGTAGCTATTATGTACCTACCTATTCTATAGTGTTAGTAATAATTTAATAGACAGTAAAAAAATATTGAAAATAGTTTCTAGTTTGGCATAAGAAATAATATAAAATGCAAAAGAATAATGAATACAGCTGTCGTTTCAGTGAATTTCTAGAACAGGTGGCCGTTGTCGTATTGAATCTAGTCATAATATAATTCCACAGAATCCTATTTATTACTGCAAATAGAATATTCGTTATTGTGACGTACAAAGTCGATAGAGGATATTGTTGCCCGAAACTACGTATAAAAATAGGTTGCACGTCACGTCGTCTGTCACGACTTGTCGTCTTGGCACCTTTGGTACTTACATCATTTTTTAATTATTTTGCACAAAGCAAAACGATCTTGAAAACATTGTCGTTAACTCAAGGCTTCCGATATTTTTGCAAGTAATATGCGGGCCTACGTTTGTTTGCGGTTAAGCTTTGCAATTATCTAGTTCTTCACTTACACTTCTATTTTTAAATGTGAGTTTTTTACTCTAGTTTTACCCCGCGACCCATTAAGTATTATTGGTTTTTGGGCCTTCATTTGCGCCAGCTCGACCAGGTTTGATCTATTGTGGCAGCCCTTGTCTTTAGAGTTCACTGCTTAGTCCCGTTGAGTCTATAAATTTCCAGATTCTTTGGAGCGTGATATCTGCTATCTCATCCGGGTGCATGATGTGTCGCCCAAGGTCACAGTGATTTTTTTATCACATAACTTTATGTAGGAATTTTCAGATCCTTGATATTAGAAACGATTATTTTCCAATTAATTAATCCCTTTTTAGTCTCTTCAATATTGTTACTAAAAGCATTATGTTATTTTCCTAAGACCAATCGCTCTTAAATTCTTCATAATAGGTTCAAACAAATAGATAACTACTACTTTATTCTAATAGATTCGATATTATTTGTTAACTTGAAAAAAATGTTCTGGCCGAACAAATTTTACTTCCCGATGTAATTTTTTTGGCAATAAATGTTTCTTTCTTTCTTTCTTTCTTTCTTATTTTAAATCTCAATCTAGGGAAACGTGTAGCTTTCACACAGAATATACATATACAGAGTTAAGTACCTTCTATCTATCTCTCTAAACTATTTAAGTATTTAAGTATAGCATAATGCTACAATTTCTCTTAATATGAACTAGGTATAAGCCTAGTTTCTAGAAATACGACATGCTTTTACATCGTACTTTTATTCTGCATTAAAATAAGCGTACATTTAATAACAAGCATTTTGTTATGTAACAGGATTTTCCACAAAGTAAAAGTTTCCAGAGCTATGGAATTCCAGTAATATTTCGCAACAAATATTATCCCTGTATTCACGTGAAATAGTCCAATTTTATACTCGCAGAAATTCGAAGAAACTGCTCGAATAAGCTTTTGTGAGGTCTATGAAAAGTTATATCACAATGCATATTAAATTTAATCCTGCTTTTGTAACTTGTAAATGCTTATATTACTTTAGCTTTTTGTGTATCTCCGTTTATAGGCTTTACTCAAGTACGAGTATGTTGGAATGGTAACCATCTCGCGGAACCACTTTCATAGTTTTAAGTTTCATGTAAGTCTTGATTGTTCTTTACCGTACTTTAGAATCTACGTTCATAACAAGTAAATATAGGTATTTTCAGCTGGTGAAAATAAAACTGAAATTACCTACTTTGTCTATAGAAACACGGAATTAAGGCGGCCAAGCTTTATACATTACGAGTATCTTGGTTTTGAAATGTTACTTCTGGTGTACTACTTTATAATTACCTATTCATATACGAGTAGGTAATAACTGTTTTGAATGCAATGAATGGATAACATTCGGTTACCCAAAGATTATATTGCTAATCCTGTCGTATCACTATCAAGATAAGTTTTGTTTTCCGATAATATTGTCGTGGCTGAATCCATGTCAAGAATTTTAAACAGTTACCTACCTACTCGTTACCTATTTCGTTTCCTGATTAGCGAGATTTATTACAGTTCTCAAATTAAGCTGATTATTTTAGAATCTGAAAAATTTCTGACAAGAAGCTTAGATATTCCAAAAAATTCGGAGACAACGTGATTTATTCACGTTAGAACCAAGACCCATCCGATGAAGGGTAACATAAAACACTACAGTAAAAAAATTACATGTTACACTGTTCTGAAATATTTGTGGTCAAGGCCTATCAACAACTACTCCCACATGTCTTTTCCAATGCTACAACTTCTGTATATCAAAGATCAACAGCTTGGCTCCAATAAAACCTAACCAACAAAGTTTTAGTAGGCGATAGCTAACCGTTTTGAAAACTTCAACGAATATAGCTAGAAGTTCCCTATAGACGCCGAAGAAAGAAGAAGCTAGAAGTCCCTGAAAAATCATCAAATCATCATATTTCACATTATTCCTTTCCCTGCAAAACACACACAATATTCTCCAAGTTCTCCACCTACCTGGAGGCTGGTGTACGACGCGTGCTTGCGGCCGCCGATGGAGAATCTGAAGCCCTTGTCCTCGTGGACATGGCGATGGCGGAGAAGAAGCGACCGCATCACGACTGGCTTGTCGTCTTCCTCGATCAGCTGGGACTCCACCATGTTCTCGACCACTCTGTGGGAAAGGGGATGTTGTAGTCTAGTACGAGTAGAAATACTGCGTTGAAACTAAAGAGAAGTGTGATTTTGAGACGACTCTACTGTACTCGTATATTGTATTTTTTTATCCACAACGAGGAAGCTCTTGGCCTGTATCTCACCTGATGGTAAGTGACGATCAGGCTGAAGGTGAAAGCGAGCTTCACCCGGAATCCTTAACCACGGAGGAACTGGCTATCTTATCTCTAACTGCCGGAACACAACAATGCTGTTAACATTGTTGTTATGGCGACAGACTTAGGTAAGATGGTGCTGGTAAGGTTTCTATTATTTATAAAATTTATATTATGAAAAAAAATATTTGGGTCGAATTCATAATCGGAATTTATAAAAATCAAAGAACTGATGTTTTCACGAGAATACGTACTTTACTCGTATTACTTTAAGCTGACTCAGAATTTTATTTTCTTTTGAATGCAAAGGCGCTTTGATGTCAAACAACCATAATAATACCGAGTGATGAAACGATCCAAATATTAATGAAAGTCAAAATCCTTTGCATATTTTCCAACATTTTCTCTCTAAAAATCCCATAAAGTTATTGCATATGAAGTTGAAGTAGCATTCAATTACAATAAAGTGATTCCGCGAAACATTTCCTGCATAGACTTGTTGCAGCTGAAATAAAATTGGAAATCCTCGCGAAAGCTTTGGAGCCAAAACAAACTAACAGCATCGGAACCGTAGAAAAAAATAGAGAGTTCGCAAACCGATAGTTTTGTTTGTTTGTATGTTCCGCCGCTACAGAAAAACTAAACCTACCTATCACAAATTAATATTTCCGATTGGTTGTTACATTTTCCGAGAGTTTAGTATTTCAGTTGGATTATTTTGGACGTGGATAGAACCGAATATTTTTATGAAAAATTCATTGGAAAAACCTGATATTCGTATCAGAGATTTTTTATCGAACTAGAATTTCTGACAAATTTTTGTATACGGATTATTATTACAGAAAATGTTTACATTCCTGGTAAATGTATAAAGTTTATAAATGGTTTCCAAGACTTCTGATTCAGGTCAGCTAGTTAAACAAATAGCTACATTTCATCCCCGAAATGTAATTACAAAAGCTTCGATAAATTAATCAGAGAAGGAGACTTTTAAAAGTTTGGATAAAAAACACATAGGTATAAGCTTTCCTTTAACGCTCTGATCCTTGCGTCTTACTCCTCCAAGTAAAAGACCAACCTGGTCACCAGGCACCGTTCGTTCGTTCCAGCCAAATGACGTCCACTGCTGAACAAAGGGGTCCCCCAAGGATTACCATAACGAACGGTCATGCGCTGCCCCCATCCAGGTTCTTCCCGGGCACTGTTACTTATTCCTAAGTTAGGAGTAAAAAAGTCATGGAAGGGGAGATACACTTTAAGAGGCTTCACCTGCTTAATCCTAGTGGTCGTCTTCTTCGTACTAGACGTAGATATAAACAGAAATAAATACAAGGATACAAGTGCCGTGTGGTGACGGCAGAGTAGAATACATTTGTCACCAACCCCTACTTTTCCCGCGGGTGTCGTAAGAGGCGACTTAGGGACTACACATCAAACAGAGAACGGGCAGCAGCGCTCTCTGACAAACATCAATCTTTTAAACTGCGATCTCCAACCCGCCTGCCAAGCGTGGGGATTATGGCAAAACCCTCCACTATAGTGGAGGAGGCTCATAGTCCAGCAGTGGACTGTAAAGGGCTGTTGATGAAATACAAGGAAGGCGCTGGATGCAGGCCACGTCCAACCGATCAATCTGGAAATCATTGGGGGAGACCTACGAGTACGTTCAGCAGTGGACGTCCTGTTTTAGAAATGATGATGAATAAAGACTTACCTATACGCAACACCAGGTAGGTCTTTCTCATCCAGATCCAAGAGGACCACTCCAGTTTCCAGGCACCGTCGCAAGTTCAGGAGTGAGTGGAAGGAGAGTGATGCCACGTGAGGTTTCCCCCACCGGTCTGAGCCCTCCTCACGGTCTTCCTCGTACTTGATCCACCTGGCTCGCTCCTGCCATTCGGATTCTCCCTCGGGGTTGCAAAGAAGCTCGTCCAGTTGGACGAAGACCTGAACAATGGGAAGTCGTGATAAGCATTGGTAGAGCCTTCAAAAGCTGGTCATGTCAGACTTGATGGTGGTATGCTATAGATACGTGTGACTGTGTGTAGTGTGGACTTTTTCTTCTACTAAAGAAAGTGTAGATCGTTCATTAGGACTTCTCGATGTCCTAATGAACGATCTACACTTTCTTTTGTTTCAAATAAATTAGTGATCTGGATGTTGATGATATTATTAAGACAATGAGTTACTTTCAGCTATCAAAACACTGAGTTTTATAAATTCAGTTCAATTCTATCATTGGTCTATACGTGTAAACAGATGTCACGTGGTTAACAGTGAGTAATAGGTATTCAAACGAAAAGAACACTTTACATCTGATTATTGTCTGCTAAATAATTTTGATCCTAAAGTATACAACGCACGGTACAAATTCGTACGTATGTAGAATTGTAAGCGTCGCTTTATAGTTACGTTTGATAAAATAATAATTCCAGTGTATATCGAATTTCCCAGCCAATTATTCCAGAATCCCGTGGATTTGTTACGTAAACATTTCAAACTCGTTTACAGGTTTCCAAATACATTTTGTTTTCAATGGCAGTAACTTTTCAAAGTGAGTAGTAACGTGAAACTTTTCAGACTTGGTGTAAATAGTTTGAGGCGTAATTAGTTTGTTACTGTGATGTTAATTAATGTTTGTACACAATAGTAAACAATAATGCTTACCGCATGTGGGCTATGGTCATACATCTTCTTGTACGTGCCCTCAGGGAGAACGTTCTGTAGTTTGTCGCCTGCTTCCTTACGGCCCAAATGAACTGACGAAGGCTGTTGACAATAAATAAGAATAGGTTAGTAATGAATAAGCAGGCTGCTTTGTCTCCTTATTTGTTTTTATTACTCTAAATTAAGACCAAAACTAGTTCAAAGTTATCAGTAATAGTGACTGAGTTTCTTGCGCTGCTTCTTCTCAGCACTGGCCTATTTGTTGTCCTGAAGCAGTGGTAGGGTTAATATCGGGACGTGTAAAAGTGCTTTTTAAAAGCCTACTTGACATTACAAAAAAAAACTTAGCTGGCTCAAAACACTTTTGTCCAGAATCTAGACTATAATTAAAAGTAATTGATCTGTCTATCCATTATCACTAAACCTAATCTGATGACAGATATTTTTTTTCCAATGGCGATTCGCAGGTTTTTTTACGCATTTAGGTAAGTAGATATTTGATTGCAATCGCACCTGGTGTTAAGTGAGATGCAGTCTAGGATGGTACATGCCCTGTTAGTGCCTATTCACTGTCGCCTTAAAAATGACTACTCAAAACTTGTCTTAAGATTTGGCCACTTACTTTGTCAGTTTTGTGTCTGCCCACATGTGGGTCATCAGTCCTATGGCTGGCCAGTTCGTCCAAGTCCACCTCTGGGAGAGGCTCCTCGCCAGGAGCCACCGATACCCTGCGCTCGCCGCTGCCACTCATGCCACCTGCTACTCGTCCACCCTCTTGTAATGAATATTTTCTAGATTTATAATGTAGATGACGTCTGAGGAAGAAATGTTTCCAGTTAATTATCAGCCCGGGCTAGGATGCGCGCCGTGATAAAATCTTATCGAATTTAGATGACAAATGTACGGGTTTATCCAACAAAATCGATAAAGTGACTCGATAAAAAATTATTGTGGCGCGTATCCTAGGCCTACCGTACGCTAAGCGCTCTACAGAAATATTTATAAATAAATGACAACAATAATAACATTAAGAAGCCTTTTAATGCATTTTTTAGTTACAAAAATTACTGAATTAGAATTTTATAGGCAATTAAAATCTGTTCGTTTAACAAAGGTTATCAATGAATGTCAACTGGATGTTGTTGATATTAAAATTTGTTTATGGTAAGAGGAAAAATAAATTGATTTGTTTTACTAATTGAATTGTGTAAATCAGTCGATGTTATATTAATCCTTTGGGCATAGGAAAAGTGTTTAATTTGTCTTTGCATATCAAAGTAAATCTATGTATAGCCTGATATTTACAATGTTAAAGTTATTAAAAGCCCTGTTTAAACATGCATTTAAAACAACATCGAACAGAACCTTGCATGCAAAGCTTCATACAAATTAAAACGAAACTTAGAAATATGAGGAAAAAATGTGTTTAGCAATTGTTTTACCACGCCCTCCTTAAGGACGTGTCATTTAGACGTAACGTGACATTATACTGTGTCTAAGAGTAGGCGCACACCGTTGATTTTTAGTTGGCCGATAGTTGTGCCCGATTTTAATTTGTATGAAGAATCGGCCAAATCGGATCGGCGTAGTGTGCGCACTCCCATACATGCTCATACTGATCAACAGCCCGACTAAACTATCGGCCGACGAAAAATCAACGGTGTGCGCCTACTCTAAATCAATTCCTATGTTACGTATAATCCACCCCCTTCCCTTTGCTAGTAGCTGACAATTTACATGTCAAGAGGAAATGGGCTCTATTTGCTATAGATTTAAAAAATTCACTCTACCATGTGCCCGGTCCCACGGTGGCATTAGTGTTTGCGTCATGATAATAGAAAAGGGGTGGTCACTTATGGACATGATAATTGTGGAGTACTAGTGTAGACTGTTGTTGAAGTACAACCTAGAAAATATGCTTCATTTTTTGATAAATATAATATGCAATAAGAATAAGAGAAGATCTGAGTAGAAGTTAAGAAAACGGAGTGATTTTTCTGTACGAATTTGTGCACTGAGCTGTACGCTGAATTATTTAGGTGTATGGTACAGGAAGATCGTATGACGCATTCTAGAGAGTCATAACAAAATAGAGTGAAAAATATTGGTCTAAACGGATATTTTTTTTTCATGGACACAGGCACAAAAGATCCCAATAAGTCGAAGAATTATAAATGCATGGATTACTTAAAAACCTTAATGAGACCGTAACCAACTTCGCAAATAGTAAAAAGTTAGTTTAATTGTGCAAATAACTTTACGTTAAGTTAAAGGAAACTTACTCTCGATCGATCATTTGCTATGAACTGATCTTTAGGAGGTTTATGTTTAAGGAAGTACTTCTTTGGCGTAAAAATAGAGCCTTTCGCTCTCTCAAGGTGGAATGTGACGCTATAGAAAGTGATTATTTTAGTGGAATAATACAGTTTTAAGTCTGCCAACAATACCCCATACGGAACTGGTGTGTTGAGTTGGATAATGATCAAATGAGACAATTGAGTTAAAATTTAGACTTTACTCAATATTATTAGGGCTTGTTCCCATGGTGACATCCCGTTTTTTGCAGGAACTGTGTTTTGAAGGACCCCGTTTAGTTGGTAATGTTAGTAGGTATACGTGTTTTAATTCGAATTTAAAACACACATGTGTGTTCACACGACGTCCAGTTTTGCAGGATCCTGCTTTTTGCAGGAAACTGGATTGCCGTGGGAACGAGGATTTTAGGAAGGATTTTATGAAACTCCACCCCTAAGGGGGTAAAACGGGATCCACGCGTACGAAGTCGCGGGCGGCCGCTAGTTGTAAATAAGATATGTATGCAAAATCATGATTATGCTTATTGGGAATTTAAATTGTATTTGGTAATACTTTACTTTGCAAGCTTCAAGTAAATTGGATTGTCTCGCAGCGAAGACAATATCATTTCTATTTGCTATTAAATATAGTGTTATTTGGCTTTAATAATGTTCGTATGAATGCCAAATTCTGTTGGCGAGATAATGTGTATGTCTTTGTTTGTTGTTTTCACGATTTAATTTTCAGTGTGAAGTTGAAACAAATGTAAAATTATTGAAATTATTAGCTTCAGATTAGTTTTAAATTGGTAAATACCTAATGTAACTCTAATGCATTCATTTTAGAGACAATATTATTCTGTATTCAATTTTCAAGTTTATTTAAATCAATACCGATGCGTTCATCTAGTAGGTATTTGAGGTCAACTACTAATTTTCTGGCCCTACTGAAGTAAATTTTGTACTAGTAGCTCTATCTAAAACAGTAATTTACCCATCATCTCTGACCTACATTAGAAAACCCATGATTGTCTACAGAGCAGTATTTTTTGCCTATGCCCCTTGCGGGTTCCAAACCTGTGGCTACTGGTCCGGAGCGATTCATAACTACTTGGATCAACTCATGCGCAGAAACAAAACTTGGTCAACAAACCAGTAACATTGAATTATTGTCGAATGTCGCACAAATATATTTTATTGCTTTGACTTTGTATTAACTGCAATGTTTTTATGTGGATATGTTACAGTCAAAACTCATAATCGGACGAAACCACTTTTGACTGATTTTTCCAAGGGCGTGGGTCAATATCACTTTTTATTGCAAAAATCATTCAAAACTGGTTTCGCCTGCATTAAAATTTTACCAATCAGTTAAAATTCTAACCGATATTTTTCAGTCAAAAGTGGTTTTGAACGATTAGGAGTTTTTACTGTAACAGATATGTACAGTCACGGAATGAAAAGGTTCGTCAGTTTTCAAATTGATTCCTTCAACGAATCGCGAGCACATATTACCTTTTGAAACTATGTTACAGAATAATCTCGAGTTAGAGAAAATAATCTTTAACTGTTCGCCAGTAAAGTTCAAAATTATTCAGATCAAAGTTGTTTGACGAATTAACTTGTCAAGAAGATTATTATGATTGATAAACTAAAACCTTCTTGTTGGTTCAACCTGCCATTATTATTTCTATTAAATAAAAAAACTATTGTCAATTGGTCAATGTCATCATTGCATTGCACTGATGATGGGATAGAAAAATAAACAAGCAAAACCTTATTTGTTAGCAAATGTCATATTTATTTAAATGTTAGCAGCACTGTTTCTTGCACTGTTATGTTGGCAGGTTTGACTTTTACAGTACCTAGTGCAAGCGAAAACCGACACTAAGGTGACGAACCTTTTCATTCTGCGACTGTACATCACATTATACCTATGTATTATTTTGAGTGATACATATTAATTTTATAAATAATTTTATGGTATGCCATATAAATAAATAAATAAATAAATTTTACAAGCCCTGATGTAAATGGAATGGTAACAGGCTGAGTACAGGGATGAGTGAATTTGTCTTTACAATCAAGAGCTTTTAACTTATGAATGAATTAAAACTGTGCAGTTACACGATTAGTGTACCTTGGTATGTTAAAATGACAGTTAAGCCATATTTAATAACAAGTTGGCACTAAAATACGAAGGAAGCCAAAAGGTATCGAGACGGAATCAATATTCCAAGCACATCAGATTAAGTTTTCGTTGCAAAACCACCATATCTCTTAGTACATAAGAGGCCACCGTGTTTAGCTTGAAGAGCTGTCGTCTATACACTAAGAGCGCTTTCACATTAGGGCGTTAGTAGCGCGACAGCAACGCGGCAGCGGCGTTTTTGTAACTTGAAGGCAGGCATCAGCTGTCACACAGTATGGAATTTTCGGCAGCGCGTCTGTCGCGCGTTTGTCGCGCTGCTAAATCGCCTAAATTTGAAAGCGCTCTAAATACACTGGTTCTTGAACGTCTCTATCTAAGATGCAAGCCTCTACATTAGCGAACTTGTCAAAGCTGCCTATACACTTGTGTTTGAGCTTTGACGCCGACTTAGGAATCACAGACGAACTTATAATACAGCAGGTATTGCTGAATAGGAAGGCGGATATTTCGCTAATTGGAATAATCTGGCACAGTCAGCATCAAACAGTTTGTGACACCCAAAGTGGCCACAAAGTTGAACAAGGACGTTTGCGAACTTAATGGCCACTTTGGGTGTCACGAACTATTTGAGGCTGACTGTATATTATGCATGATCACTAATTAGTGGGACCCTAAAAATTTCCTAAACCTTTGATTTAAACATTAACCGGCAGACAGTGGTGACTGCGTTTGTTGCGGCGCTTCTTCTCAGCACTTGCCAAATGTTGGTCTCGAAGCGCTGGTAGGGTAAAAAGATTATGAGACATGTACAGGCTCCTTAAGAGCAAAATATTTGACGATTTGTAAGTACTTAAATAGTCTGTACAAATAAAGAAATGTTGACTTTGACTTTCGTTTGCCTTAGCGCTGATACAATTTCACATTGTGTCTCGAATCTCGGCATTCGATCGGTTATCTTGTTTAAGTAAGATTTTATATTTTAGTCGCTTTTAATTACAAATCAAATTAAGCTTTACAAATGAGAACTTTTCAAAGTCGTTAATAATTTGTACTTAAAGAGACTTATCTCGAAATTCATGTAACTAGAAATAAAGATTATAGAAACCACTATAAATACAATTAGTTTCGAATCAAATTATAAAAATATGGATGTACAAGAAAATGTAAGTACTTACCAGCTTTTAGTAAATTTCTATCCAAATGTAAGAAGGCATCTATTTAGGTTGCCTGCGAAAGCTGAAAACCCTAAAGGTAAATTGGCTGTATATGTTTACATGTGATGGCAATGCGTATCACGTTTACATTTCTGGACACTTATTCCAGATGCAATCGAATTCTAAATTGTACGAACCCATATAAATGACTACCG